TTATAGGATTCCCTCCAATTTTGTCTTCCTGATTCAACACTGAGTTTAAAACACCTAGAACCAACCAAGGGATATTACACCCTATACTCTGATTCTCCAAATAACTCCACAATTCCCTCCTCTCTGCCCTTTGGTTAAAAGCATATACAAATATCAGCATAAATGCCGTCTGCATAGGAGTGTATATCACTTTGCAAGTGATTGCTTGTCCTAAACTGGTAACAGGAGTTACATGGTAGTAATCTTGCTTTCAAGTAATCCAAATTCTACCATTATAATGGTATTCTAGGTTTGTAACATATTGCCAACCTCTAAATAATTTGTTTGCTAGACCCTCAATCTTATTTACTTTGACCTTTGTTTCTAGTAAATCAACCGGACCTACTTCTTGTTCATTGCAAAGGAGTCTGACCTCCTTCTGCTTAGTAGGGCCATTGATTCCCCTGACATTCCAGCTTAAGAGTCTAACCATTTCCTGAGAGAGGAATAAGTTGGCCTCCCTCATTTCAAACTGAGCTTGATTGAGTCTGATTATTGTTCCTTTCCTTGTCAAGAACTTGGAAAGAATTCTGATTGATCACTTGCTGATTTTGTTTGAACTGCTGCTTTCTGATATTCACTGGAGTAATCCACCCTGTAGTCTGATCAACAGGTCTCCCACTCTGCACATTGTGATTCCTCACTATGTTGGAAGATGATTCAGCAGGTGCCATTTCTCCCTTAGTCATGGCTGCTGCTATACCATAGTGTAACTTCTCCTGATTCCCTGCTTCTTTAGAGTCCACCTTTTGCTTCTCCTTCTGTTCTTCTGGTTTCTCCTTTCTCACCTGTTTACCTTGTTTTAGTAATTCAGGTTTTGTAACCTTCTTCTTCCTGCATTCCTCTTCAGAGTGCCCATACATATGGCAGAAAATTGCATAATATAGGTTTCCAATCATATTGGATCTTTTGTTCTAATAGTACCCTCTTTTCATTCCTGAACATTATCATATCAGGAAGCTTTGCATCCATTTTTATCTCTATCAATAACCTAGAAAAATTGAGCCCCATTTTCTTCTTCGTATTGTGATCCACTAGAAGTGGTTTCCCAATAAAATTGCCTATTTTGCCTAGGCCCTTAGGACTCCAATATTTGAATTCGAGGCCGGGTAGTTTGATCCATATAGGCACTATCAGCAATTCTTCTCTAGTAAATTCTATATCCGGATTTCATGCTTTAACTAGAAATGGTTTGTTAGCGAAATGATAAATTCTCCCTTGTATCACATTATCCCCCCCCCCCCCCCCCC